TTTGGATGGTGACACTATGTGCCGTTGATGACATAGTGTCACCGTTACAATAACTATTTTCTCCTCTGTCTCTCGTTGTGATCCCTCTTTAGGTGGTCTATTAACGTGATTGTATTATGTAGTTAGGAAGGAAATTTGATGTTATTTAAACTTAGAATTTCTAGGTTAAAAACTTAAATTTCTCATAAACACCTTAATCTTGACACAGATAATTTCTTTTTGAATGGATCAGAAAAGGGAATAATTGAAATACACGCAAGTTGGTTCAAACGCCTTTAATCGCGAGAGAGAGAGAGAGAGAGAGAGAGAGAGAGAGAGAGAGAGAGAGAGAGAGAGAGTTTTTATGATACATTGCACAGTCAAAATTAAAAGCAAGAGAGATTAGATCGAGTACATAGAATAATAGGTATAGAAAACGAGTGGAGTACCTCCACCAGAATGATTTTCATAGAATTGGCATGTGTAAACTAAACATCGTGGGAGCAGATAAAATTGTACCGATATTCTTCCCTGTGAGTGCGTGCCACGTGTCAACTTCCCAACTCCATTCATAATCTCTACCATCGGGCCCCTCACAACCACCATTAACTCTCTTAGGTTTTATGAAGTTTTTTTTTTTTTTTTATTAACTTAAAGTTTGTAGATATTTATTCATTATCGTAAAGCAATTTAATTAAAATTAGAAAGTGGGGGGTGTTGGTGGCATCGCTTTACAATTTTAAAAACCCCAACCCAGTAATGATGAAAGGGCAAATGGTATCTTCACTTAATTATAAACAAGGGGTCGAAAATAATAAGACCGAAATTCTAACATTCGAATCTCATCACCTAATTATAAAAATAAGGGCCGAAAATACTAAGGTTATGATTCTAAAGTTTGATTCATGGGTGAGGGTTGATAGCTATATTCTATCACCAATAATTAATAATAATTATAGAAAAGGGAAGAAAAAGTAAAATTGTAAAATAATAATAATAAAAAAAATCTTTTATATAAGTTTTTAAAATTTTTTCTTTCTTTCTTCATCGTCTATTTTTGGTCACATCGTACCAAATCCACCATAGATACAAAAGATAAAGATTGTTCGAGGAAGACCAATCGCTATCGCCAAGGGCTTATATTTTACTGAATGGCCATCCCTTAACTGATTGGACAACTTTTTATGTGAAATTGTAATCATTTTTTAGAGACATGGGTTGTCTTTTAATATATAATTTGTACATATAAATAATAGTATTCAGCACTAACCTATTGATGTGAATGCCACCTCATTCAACAGTCAGTTGAGATTGTATCTATATTACACAATAATAATACATTAAGCAAACTTCTAATAATCAGATTGATCAACTTAAGCTTGTAAATGCACATGAGGACTGCTATCAAACAAACGACCAATTTGGACGGATAGACCAGATTGACATAAATTTGATAGTTTAAGGGCTAAATTGATACAAAGGGTAGTTCAGGGATTTGATTGACACAAATGATATAACTTTTTCTTTTCTTTTTTTTGATATGTTGCCCCCTATAGTTTTCAATTGAAACAAATTGCCCTCTCAATTTTGTCTATTGCTTCAATAGCCCTTGTCGTTAACCGCCGTAAATTGCTCAAGTGGACAACATAAAAACCTTAAATTCACTTAAAAACATGAAAATAAATACCCTCGATATTTAAAGTTTAATCTCGCAGCTCTATCCTCCCTTTGGTATAATGTTATTCCAATGCTAACAGAATTATGGAAAGAATATGGTCTAATGTCTACTGGCTATAAATCACCCGAGTGGGGCAATAAGAAGAAAAGGGTTGGGGCCCTAGGTAGTAGGCATGCCGTGGGTAAGGCTTTAATCAAATCAATCTACTCGAGTTCAATTCGACTTGTTTTAAGTTCATTCGGACTCGACTCATTTTTTAAATGAGTCAAACTTAAACAATATTTAAACTCAGTTAAAAAATAAGTTTTTTAAACTATGTTCGAATCGGGAGGAAAAGTTGCTCAAACGACAACAAAATATACTAGGAAAAATATATATATCTAGAATATGTCACAGTCTAACCGTATATATAAACTTCATGAAAAACAATTACAAATCAATTGGTATGGAATGCCGAGAATCCAGATGTAGATGCCCTTCGTTTGACTGCAAAACAATACCAAAATCTAAGCAAGCATGAGGTTCCATGTTCAAAAACGAGGTCGGCAACATGTGTGAGAGAGAGAGAGGGAATATGTAAAATGCAACATGGGGCTATAGATAAAAGATTAGAAAGCAAGAGGGAATATGTAAAATTTTGTCAAAAAGTAAGGGCACTAGTTAAAGAAAGTTCCTTGAGTGTGTGAATAAACAACTTGGGGTAACATGCATTAGCAAGAGAAAAGTTGGCAAGAAGAGGGGGGGGGGGGGGGGGGGGGGGGGTGAACATAAGCTATAATGCGCACCATGCGTCAAGTAGCCAAGCGTACACAGTAAAATGACTGGTTCCACCGGACCCATGGCTCCTATCTCAGTGCCCTGCAAAAATATATTTATAGAGAGAAATTGGAATCCGATTGATGGGTTCTTCCTTTAATCATTTATCTCTCTTATCCAGTCAAAAAAATATATAGAGAGATAAAAAGGGAGAGAGAGAGAGAGAGAGAGTTTGCTTAGCATCTAACCTCATCCCCAACTTTCTAATGAATATTTAGAGATATAATAAGAAGCAATCATAGAATGGTCATATAGAATTTGGGCTATCGGAATGTTGAAAACTACAGTTAAAAAAAGCAGCATCATTCTGGATGGAATATGAGAATAAGTTGGCTTTACAAGGAAAAGCACCATTCTTTCACTTTTTATTTACTTGGTCTCTACACATTTGTTTTCACCTTAGCTTTCTTCCTCAAGCTTATGGCTTTCTCCTTTTTTATATGTTGTTCTTCTATCCTACTAGGGAAGCATAAATGCTCCCACCCAAGGAATGGATATCCAATGATCTTTAACTGCAGTTACAAAGTGCACCAACAAATGTGAAAGACATTTGACTCTAATTTCTAGAGAGCATAACATGATTATTGAAAAACTTTCCAATGCCGCCCCCCCCCCCCCACTCCCCCCCAAACACACACACACACACAAGTGCAAACTACATTTTGAGCCAATCACGTGCAAATCTTTTTAAGTATAGGTTGGTGGCGAGATTTGATTGCAAGACCTCTTGTTAGTCCAATGGCATTTTGTTTTATTTATGTTTTTTTATGGATGGTGCTTAGCAATCCAAGGACACCAGTTCATGTCCAGGAGTTCCCTCCCCGCCCTGCGTGTGTTTGTGTTTGTCTCTGTGTATGAGTTTTGTGTGTTTGCTTTGTAGCTGGTCCTTGTTAAAATTAATTCCTGGTCCTAAATTAAAACATGACTACTCAAGAAGAGCTTTCATATATCTCAAAAAAAAAACAAGAAGAGCTTTCATCAAGATCCTCTTACATAACTGAAACAGAAATGTAATATATTCAAACATAAAAAAATAAAATTCGAAGAATTGCATCAAATATGTTGAACCTCATGCATGTAGGTTCATTATTACTTTTACAATTATAGATATATAAATCCCAGAGCTCAATAAGAAATCCAAGTTTCTAATTTTTCCTTTTTAGGAAATTCTTGAAGGACTTTAGAATGGAATCTCATGCTCACTTCCACAAACCCGTCTGTGTTATTATATTTCCACTCCCAAAATTCACATCTCAGAGATCTACAATCTCTCTGATTTTATTTGAACAGCAGCTCACATTCCTTACAATCATTGTTTTTCTACTTCTTGCTTCCAATATTTATCATCAAAAACTTTGATGTGCAAGATAAGCATTCTTGCAAACCATAGCATGTTCCATTTCCTACTTCTGTTTTATATGATGAAATAGACATATTGTTCTGAAATCTTACTTGGTTATACTAATACTGTTTTCTATGAATTCACCATAGACCTAATCTTATGAAATCTTTATCAGTTATACTGCACGGGCATTAATAGCATACGTTACTGTAAATTACTCATCTACGAAAAACTAAAAGATTTAATGATGATATTTGAATCTATTTGGTGTTTGTTAAATCAAAATAAAGAGAACATGGGAAAGTGAGTTTTTTTTTTTTGGGGGGGGGGGGGGGGGGGGGGGGGACAGAGTCCATGAATGAACAAAAAGAAATAATGCCAAAAGCACAAGAATGTGTAGAGAAGCATATAAGGGGAAGGGTGCCCTTGCAAAAAGACCACATGTAGATCTAAAATAACTACGATGATTGAAGTAACAGGTGGGGAGCACTACCACTATATGAAGAAGTACATAACAATTCAATCCTTTCCAAATTCAAGTGCAAACAGCATACATATATGGCATATATATATATACACCACAAATGCTGAAAAAAACAAAGAAACAAACCAATCAAAAAATGACTATGATCCCTAAATCCTAGGGAAATGCTATATTTGGTTCTCCGGGTTACAACTTGCATCATGAATCATTATGTAGATACTTGTGTCCAACAAGTTGATTCTCAATCACAGCAGTATGAGCATGGGAAGGCTTCTAAATGATTTTGTTGAGTGGTATGTTTCTCATTCCCCACTTCTTGTTGTTGGATGTAAAACATAACGACCTATGCACCCTTTGTAACTGTAGGGAGATTCAAAAGAAGTTAATTGGAAGAAAAAGCATCGAGAGAGAGAGAGAGAGAAGGATGCCAATCAGATGATAAAGGTAAGAGGAACTCAAAAAGAGATCAGTATAAATAACGGATTAGGAGTTAATGTAGAATATTTCACAGAAAGGTCGGGACCCACCATGGAGACTAGCAACACATGAGAGATCCCATCTCCGTGGCTCTGTTTATATATTGACATGTTTTCCAGTTCACACTGGGAAGCCAAGAGAAACTCCTTAATTTCTATCCCTCACTGCAATCACTGCCAACAGAGTAACACTAAGACCAGAATCAACATTGATTCAACTTAGCCATGCCCCTACACTGCGTAGTGCCTAAACCAGAAAATATTGACACTGACCCCAATCCCATGGCAGCTGTGCCTAATATGTCGGAGCCCCATGACAAGGCTTATCTTGCTTATCCTGTACGGCCCAATCCACAGTCCCTTCTACAAGTATCCTCATATCCCATAACTTTAAAGGTCTCTCTCTCTTTCTCTTGCACAAAAAAATAAGCGAGAAAGAATCCTAGTGATGTTTACATATAAAATCGTAGTAGCATAACCGGCTAAATTTGGAGTTTTTCCAAGTATTACAAATTCTGTTTGTTAGGATTATCGTTGTACAGTAATGAAGTGTAATGTATTGTGCTGATTTTTTCATTTCATGGCAGTTTGAAGAGGTCGTCTACAAGGTTAGATTTGAGCAGAAAGGAATGTGCTGCGGAGAAACACTCAGAACTAGAGAGAAGATAATACTAAACGGGGTAACAGGTATGGTATGCCCTGGAGAGATACTAGCAATGCTAGGTCCATCAGGCAGTGGGAAAACCACTCTCCTTACAGCCCTTGGAGGCCGCCTTACTGGAAAACTAGCAGGAAAGATCACCTACAATGGCCAGCCTTTTTCAGGTTCGATCAAACGCCAAACAGGATTTGTTGCACAAGATGACGTTCTATATCCTCATCTCACTGTAAGCGAAACCCTCATATTCACTGCACTGCTCAGGCTACCCAAAAGTCTCACCAGGGACGAGAAAGTTCAGCATGTGGAGCATGTGATCACGGAGTTAGGATTAACTCGGTGCCGGAATAGCATGATAGGAGGCCCCTTATTCAGAGGAATATCAGGTGGGGAGAAGAAAAGGGTTAGCATAGGTCAAGAAATGCTAATCAACCCAAGCTTACTGTTGCTAGATGAGCCCACCTCAGGTTTGGACTCAACCACGGCTCAGAAAATTCTGACCACGGTCAAACGGCTTGCAAGTGGAGGTCGAAGTGTGGTCACCACAATTCACCAGCCCTCAAGCCGACTCTACCACATGTTTGATAAAGTGGTCTTACTCTCCGAGGGCTACCCCATCTACTATGGTCCTGCATCAACTGCCTTGGAATACTTCTCTTCAATTGGTTTTTCCACATCCCTCACTGTCAATCCTGCTGATCTCTTGCTTGATCTTGCTAATGGTAAACAGAAACTCCTTTCTTTTTCCTTACTTTTCTTAGATAGAATTTTGGTTTAATTTTACTTTTTCAGATTATTGAACTAAAGGGACCATATGAGGGAAGGGGACGCTGTCTTCTATTCATCATGTCTTCCATCTATATTTTGTTTTCACTCACATGAATATGGATATCACTTGGCCTACTCAAAGTAGTTATTATAATTGTACCTTTATATAAATGCAGAATGATGAAACCCCACCTCCCAGATTGCCCCATGTTCAGCTAAGTAGACTAAAGAAAAGTTAGGGTCATCTTCATTTTTCTTTGAGCCACATCTTCTAATGAAAAAAATAGTTGACATACAAACTCACTAATAAAGCCTCATATTACATCTGATATTTTGTGAAAATGCAGGAATTGGACCTGATTCTAAGAACACTGTAGAGCAAGGTGATAACACAGAGCAAGAGTGGAAGTCTATTAGGGAACTTCTCATCTCTGCTTATGACAATAACATTTCTACAGGGTTGAAAGCTGAACTTTGCAGTTCGGATGCCAGTAACTACAATTCCACAAAAGATGCTTCCATAAGTAAGTATCCCACTCATAAAGGCCGCACGCTAGGGTTAGATAATACCTCTCAATCTTGAGTAGCGAGACAATCAGCAAGCTTAGCATCAAATGTCCTCCATTTCTTCTGGCTAATTTATAGCTAATCACAACTATCTTCCGACATATTGAAATGATGTAGGGCGTAATGTGAGGTCAGAGCAATGGTGCACATGTTGGTGGGTTCAATTCAAGGTGCTGCTTCTGAGAGGGCTGAGGGAGAGGCGGTTTGAAGCATTCAACAGGCTAAGAATCTTCCAAGTCATAAGTGTCGCTGTCCTCGGTGGACTCCTATGGTGGCATACCCCGACATCCCACATTGAAGATCGTGTAAGAATTTTACTATTCACATACACTACATATATGGAAAGATCATTTACTCCCACAAAACTAAGAATTTGTAATTTCCAAAACATGGTAATTTTGCTAGTTTCCCCATTTTATTTCAACATCGCCCACTTGAAATTTCCTGCATGCAATGATTCAATGATTGTTAAGGATACTAAGGTTTGCTTCTTGAGTGCAGATTGCCATGATTTTCTTCTTCTCCGTATTCTGGGGCTTTTACCCACTTTACAATGCTGTGTTCACTTTTCCTCAAGAACGAAGAATGCTAATAAAAGAACGATCTTCTGGAATGTACCATCTCTCCTCCTACTTTCTAGCCAGAACATTCGGAGACCTGCCACTAGAACTCGCACTCCCAACTGCCTTTACCTTCATAATCTATTGGATGGGTGGGCTCAAACCTGACCCTGTCACTTTCATCCTTTCCCTTCTTGTGGTCCTGTACAATGTCCTTGTCTCCCAAAGCCTTGGCTTAGCCATTGGTGCGATACTTATGGATGTAAAACAAGCCACTACTTTGGCCTCCGTTACAACCCTTGTGTTCCTCATCGCTGGAGGTTACTATATTCAACAAATCCCTCCTTTCATAGTCTGGTTAAAGTACTTGAGCTATAGCTACTATTGTTACAAGCTTCTTCTTGGGGTCCAGTACAATGAGGACGACTATTACGAATGCTCAAAAGGAATCTATTGTCGGGTTGCAGATTTTCCTGCGGTCAAATCTATAGGCCTGAACAATTTGTGGGTAGATGTGGCCATTATGGCACTGATGTTGGTGGGTTATCGGCTCGTTGCTTATCTAGCATTGCGCCGAGTAACATGAAGCAAGTTTAGCATAGGACTCATTTCGGCAAAGACGGAAGTTTGAAGAGTTTCCTATTTTTCATCAAAGGAATAATGCTAGGTTTAGAAGATATTTGGGTTGCCAGATTTTGATATTTCCGTCTTAGAATCAGATTTTCTCCCTTCTGGCAATTGTAAGATGACAAAAACGAGTAAATTTAGTTTTCTGCAAAATAAATTTGCAACATTCTGAATTGATTACACATGCATTACGATTAACAGAATAAAAAACATTTATTTTTTATTAGAAGAAAAAGGAAGAAGCAACAGACATTGAGGCCCGCTGTCATTCTGCAGCACTGGATTCTGGAACTGTGAAGAGCATATTGAAACCAATATTTGCTTTAAATAAATAGGATCCTGCCGATGCATTGATAGCAAAAAAAGCAAATTCCTCAGGGGACCAAACATTTTAGTGAACACGTGATAACGAAAGCTAAAAAGCAGCCAAAGAAAGCAGAATAGAGGTTCCATATGAATTTTTGGTGTTTGTAAGCTTTATGCTATTTTCCTGTGAGTTATATTTTTGTAATCAGGACAGAAATGTTGGATTTAGTTTGATTTCTACATTCTAACCCAGAGCTGGGAGATTCAAGTTATGGATATAGTTGAAGAGCATAACACAAGCTGCAGGACAAATTAGCATTTTAGTAAATAATTAGTTATTGAAACAAATTGACGTAATTCACAAGAGAAACTCCTCTTTTCCCAACGGTATTATGGAAAATCTCAAGTAAGTTCATAGCCTAAGTAAACCAGTAAAAGGAATGAAATATAGAGTATGGGGATAAATTATTGGGGGGAAATATGAGATGATATGACAGATAGACAGCTAACACCATAATCCAAATAGGTGAAGTTATGTATGAGACCAGTTGAAAGAAAAAAAAAGCTATGTATGAGACACAATATTGCTGGAAAACCACAGCAAGCAATTGGGAGGTGGAGCCCCACATGTATGGACAACAAATGGGTGGAGGCCCACGCAAACAACAAGAATTGACACCCAAAATCCATGTCATTTCCTCTTCAGCATGGTGCTGACCACCAACACTGACTTCTCTTTCTGAAAACAGTGGAAAAAGACAAGTCTGACAACAATATTGTCCTTTTCATCTTTATAAGGTTGTGGTTTTCTTATGGATGCAAAATGATAGAGCAGCTTCGGTAGGCCATTGCTTTGTATGGTGGAACCTTAACTCGAGCCCAATGATTAGCCTAGTTTAGCCAAGCTTGATTAGCCTAAATTAGCCTATAGCTGGCACACCCCGACCCAACTGCGTGAAATTATTCACTTTATGCTTATCGAAAAGAACAAAAGAAACTGTCCACTTTATGTGCTCGACCAATATCCTAATTGAGCTTCTATTCTATGGCATCAATATCTTGTCAACCCTCTACACCTCACGCATACTTACCATTGAGATAAAATGTACATAATCTATGTTTATCCTCTAAGGTTTTATAGTATTACTGCCCAAAACAACCGAATCAACCGCGAATGCACTCCTGTCAAATAACAAACTTCAAAAACAACATTGTGAAACGTTACAAACAGTAGAAGATGATAACATGTCTAAGAATAGATTGTTAGAATCTAGAGGACTATTACACATCCACAAAAAAAAAATATAATGGGAGAGACTATTGAAAATTGAAAGAATTTTTTGTATTCACTCATATCCAAATGGATGCATTACATATGATATATATAGATTCTCATGACATACAAAATAACCCCCACTACATAATGCAATAATAAAAATAATAAAGACTCTACTCTTCCATTACTTGGAGAATTAAAATACCACAATTACTTTGTCTTCCACTAATACCAAATTGATGACCCACTAATACAACAAATTAAATGCATAAAAATAACTCCTAAAACATGAAAAGTCATGTTTAATATTATTTTTCCAACACCCTCCCTTAAACATGATTTTTCTTCTCAACTCCAAGCAAACTTCTCAATTTACAAAAGACATCTTCTTTGAGGGGCTTAGTGAAAATATCGGCAATTTGATCTTGAAACTTCACAAACTTGAGCTCCACCTCTTTCTTGGTCACATACTCTCTAATAAAATGGAACCTTGTGTCAATATACTTACTACGATCATGAAACACCGGATTCTTTGCCAGCGCTAGTGCCGATTTGTTGTCAATGAAGATCTCCGTCGATTCTTCTTGAAGCAAATGAAGCTCTTTCAACAAATTTCTAAGTCAAATGGCTTGAAAAATACATGATGTAGCCGCCACATACTCGGCTTCACAAGTCGAAAGAGTCACAATGGGTTGCTTCTTTGAACTTCAAGCAAATGCAGTATCTCCCATGAAAAAAATATATCCGGTAGTACTTTTTCTATCATCCATATCTCTGGCCCAATTACTATCACATAACCCGCAAACTTGAAATTGTTAGAACAAGAATATAGCAATCCATAATCAAGTGTACTTTTGATGTATCTAAGAATTCTTTTTGCCGCCTTCAAATGGGTCATGGTAGGAGCTTCCATATAACGACTTACAAGACCAACACCAAAAAGAATATCTGACCTTGTGCATGTTAAGTACCTCAAGCTTCCCACTAGGCTCTTGAAATGGGTAGGATCCACATGCTCTTCATCTTCATATTTTAACAATTTTACACCACATTCAACGGGTGTGCATACCGGTTTACAATCTTGCATCTTGAATTTTGTCAAAATTGCTTTAGTATAACCTTCTTGAGAAATAAAAATATCTTTCTTCATTTGCTTCACTTCAATGCCAAGGTAGTATGACATAAGCCCAATATCGGTCATCTCAAATTCTTTAGTCATTGCTCTCTTGAAATCTTCAAACATTCTTGGACAATTTCCTGTGAAGATCAAATCATCCACATACAAACAAGCATAGAGTATATCACTATTATCTTTCACCTTTGCACAAAGAGCATGTTCATGGGGACACTTGGTAAAATTATTCGCTTAAAAGTACTTGTCAAGTCTTCTATTCCAAGCCCTTGGTGTTTGCTTCAAACCATACAAAGCCTTTTTTTAATTTCAAGACTTTCTCTCCTTGCCCTTTCACAACATAACCCAAGAGTTGTTCAACATACACTTTTTCATTAAGAAAGCCATTTAAAAAAACGGATTTTATATCCATTTGATGAATTTTCCAATCATTTAGAGTGGCTAAAGAAATAATCAATCTAATTGTTTTAAAACGAGCAACGGGTGCAAATACCTCATCATAGTCAATATCCGATCTTTGACCATAGCCTTTTGCAACCAACCTTGCTTTGTACCTTTCCACTTCACCTTTGAAATTTTTCTTTGTTTTGTACACCCACTTCACTCCAATGGCTTTTTGTCCTCTAGGGAGTGTGGCAAGCTCCCATGTTCCATTTCTTTCAATAGTATCAATTTCTTCATTCATGACACTCCTCCACTTCTTGTCTTGTGTCACTTTCTCATAGCCTATGGGATCACAATCGGCAAATAGACAAAATAATGTTAAATCACTAAATCCTTGAATTACCTCTTTAGTTTCTTCATAGATATCTCAAAGACTCCTCATGCGAGGTGACTTTTCACTTGAGCTTGCTTCGGATGATGATGGAGATGCTTGCACATTGGTGGGTGATGGTGGTGATGGTGAAGGAGAATAAATAGGCAGCTCCATGATCTCATTATTGGGCTCCTCCTCTTCTTCAAAGAATGGAAAAAAATTTTAATCTTCTTGTGGAGTGTTTTAATCTCATTCATCTTATTCATCAAACTCAACATCTCTACTAATGATTATCTTACCATTACTTGGGTTGTAAAGCTTGTAACCTTTGCTTCTTGAATCATAACCAATGAAGACAAACTTTTTACTCTTGTCATCTAATTTGGTCCGTTTCTCATCCGGCACATGTGCATAGCATACACTTCCAAATACCCGTAAATAAGAAACATTTGGCTTGATTCCTCCCCATACTTCGTGTGGTGTTTTGTCTTGAAGACTTCTAGTGGGACACCGATTTAACAAGTAGATGTCACAATCAATAGCTTCCGCTTAAAACTCTTTGGGCATTTTTTTACTCTTCAACATACTCCGAGCCATGTCAAGAATGGTTCGGTTCTTCCTTTCGGTAACACCATTTTGTTGTGGTGATCTTGGAACCGTTAAAAGATGGTGAATTCCATTTTCTTTACAAAAAATTTTGAATTCATTTGATGTGAATTCACCTCCTCTATCGAATCTAATTGCCTTGACTTCATACCCACTTTATTTTTCAATCAAAGTCTTAAACTTTTTGAAAACACCAAACACCTCCGATTTTTGTTTTAGAAAATAAACTCACGTTTTTCGACTAAAATCATCAATAAAGAGAAGAAAATACCGATTCTTACCAAATGATGGTGGGTCTATAGGGCCGCAAACATCCGAGTGAACAAGTTGATGTGGTTTGGTTGCTCTTGAAATGGATTCTTTGGAAAAATTCTTTCTAGCTTGCTTTCTAATTAAACATCCCTCACAAAATTGATCCGAGTGGTTGATAGAAGGCAATCCGTTCACCATCTTCTTTCTAGACAACAAGGTTAGTCCTCCAAAATTCAAGTGCCCAAATCTCAAGTGTCATAATCAAGAAGAATCTTTAACACATGCTTTCAAGCATTTTGCCATATCACTTTGAATATTTAACAAAAATATTCTATTTCTTGTCATCGGCACTTTAACTACCAAATTCCCGTTTCCATCTCTTACTGAAAGATTATGATTTTTCATGCAAATATCATAACCTTTCTCTAAGAGTTGTCCCAAGCTCAAAATATTATTTTTCATGTTTGGAACATAAAAAATATTAGAAATAACTTGGTGACTTCCATCCTTCAAACAAATCAAAATATTACATCTTCCCATTAATGGAATTTAAGAAGAATCTCAAAAAGTGACTTTTCCATTTACCGATTTATCAAGCTCCGCAAATATCTCTTTATTTTCACACATATGATTACTAGCACTAGAGTCAAGGTATCACACGTTCTTGTCTCTCTTTTGCTCTTCTTTGTATACCAACAACAACGCCGACTCTATTTCTTCAACTTTGTCTTCAACAAAGTGTGCTCTTTCTTCCACAAAATTATTTCTACACTAGGAAGCAAAATGGCCATATCGATGACAATTATAACATTGAATATG